TGCTTCTTAGCCTCAGACATTCTCTGGTGAAATACAAATACTTACTTTAGATTTGTTTGTTTTGTTTTTTCATGACAGGGTTTCTCTGTGTATCAGTCCTGGCTGTCCTGGAGCTCATGGAAATCCACCTGCCACTGCCTCCTTAGTGCTGGAATTAAGGGTATGCACTACCATCTGACTGTAGACTCTTTTTATTTAGATTTATTTTTATTTCATGTGTATGAGTGTTTTGACTGCATGCATGTCCATGTACCCTGTTCGTATAGTGCTCAGGAAGCCCACAGATCTGATAAAATTAGAATCACAGAGGGTTGTAAGCCACTATGTGGGTGCTGGGAATTAAACTCAGTCTGCAAGAGCAACAAATGCTCTTAACCTTTGAGCCATCTCTCCAGCCCCTTTTAAAAATTTAAATCAGTACAATTGCTTGACATTGCTTATGGTTTTCCTTAGCTTACACCTTTATTCCAGAAAATTCTCTTACTGGTAAAAAAAGCCAGGATATCAACACATGCTGGCAGAATGCCATCCACACATGATAGAGATCTTAGACTGGACAGTTACTACTTACTGTGGAGAATGATAGGTGATATTGGTGATGGCCAGGACGCTATCATATTCTACATTATAAAAGTACTTTTTACATTTCATATTGTAGAAAAGAATCTTTCATTTACAAATTTAAGTAACTCAGTATATACATACTACTAACAATATTTGTTCTGTGTTCAACAGGAACCCAGGAAGAATGCAAGTCACCATGACCTTCAGAGCATGTGGTCCATGCCCATGCTGCATGGAGAAATACAGTAACAGGAAGGAGCGGGAGAGAATAAGGGGAGAAATGCAACATGATGAATCTCAGTGCCAAGGCTGACCACCTAGCCAGACGGGTAAGAATAAACTTCGGAATGACTGACAGCCTCCGTAAAGTTTGCTGGCTGCAGATGGGAGATAAAGCCGATTTGGGGGATGTTATTCTATTGCCTCCCCAGATATCCGGCACTCTGAATAAAGCCCTATTTTTATTTAAATGTTATTCTATGTGTATGGGTCTTTTTACCTGCATGTCTATCTGTGCACCCTCACAAATGCCTCGGCCCTCAGGGGCCAGAAGAAGGCATCAGATCCCATGGGACTAAAGTTTCAAATGGTTGTGAGCCACCAATTGGGTTCTTGGAATCGAACCCAGGGTCCTCTGGAAGAGCAGTAAATGCTCATAGCCACTGAGCCATCTCTCCAGCCCATACTGGCCACTTTCAAAGATTCAGTCCCTGCCTTTGTTCAGTGGCACTTGTCAAGACAGGCAGTACAAACTCTGAGATCTCAACTTCATGTGTTTACTCAACTATTTGGGAAACATCTCCTTGTAAAATAATTACTGAGTGTCATATAAAAAACAGGAGTACAGAATTTTTTTTGTATTCTGCAGAAGTTTCTGCTAAAGGAGGCCTTCTATACTTATATGAGGAGCTTTTAAAAATTCATAACTGACGCCAGCAAGATGGCAAGGTGTTTACTGCCCAGCATGATGACCCAAGTTCAATCCCTAGAACCCACAAAGCAAAAGGAGGAAAGTTTTCTTTTGACCTCTACACAGGTCAAAAATTAAAATAGAACTTTGTTTTTGGAGACAGGATTTCTCTGTATAGCCCTGGCTGTTCTAGAGCTCATTCTATGGATCAGGCTGGCCTCCAACTCACAGTGGTCTACCTGCCTCTGCCTCCCTAGTGCTGGGATTAAAGGCTTGCATCACCAATACCCTGCAAAAATGTAACTTTTTTGTTTTGTTTTGAGACAGGATCTCTCTGTGTAGCCTTGGTTGTTCTGGAACTTGCTTTGTATACCAGGCTAGCCTTGGACTCATGGAGACCCACTTGACTCTATCTCTCAAATGCTGGGATTAAAGATGTGTCCGACCACCACCCAGCTGAAAATGTAACTTTTAAAGATAAAAAAATTATATGTAAAAGAATTCAAACTTCGTTCTAGATTCCCCCCCAGTGGCGTCCTAAGAAACAGGTAACTAATAATGAGCAAGAATGAACACTAAGGCTGGTGAGATGGCTCAGCGGTTAAGAGCACTGACTACTCTTCCAGAGGTCATGAGTTCAAATCCCAGCAACTACATGGTGGCTCATAACCATCCATAATGAGATCTGATGCCCTCTTATGGGGTGTCTGAAGACAGCTACAGTGTACTTACATATAATAAATAAATAAATAAATAAATAAATAGGCCAGAGGAAGTGTGAGAAGAGAAAGGGGAAAAAAAGTGAATGCTAATGGCCTCATCAATTTACAAATGACACCACACCAAAGAGTCCCTTCAGCCTGGATAGAAAAGAGACCTTCAGGTACTTCTAACCACTTGTTCTGCAAAACTTCAAAACCTAAATCTTAGATTTATATTTCCCAACTCAAGCTTTTGCCCACTTCTGAGGACACACACAAATGGACTCCAGGAGAGCTGGGTCTCATCTTCAGTTTCAGCGGCAATTGAGCACCATACAAACAGAATTCAAACCCCCTCACAACATTTATACATTTCTCTTCTCATACCTCTCAAATCCTTTTAGATTTAGATATTTTTAAAAATTGTCTAAGTTACCTGGAATTTTCCTTGGTGTGTTTCCTAAATGATAAGAAATAATGCAGGGCTGGTGGGCTGGCTCAGTGGCTAAAGGTGCTTGCTGCACAAATCTGAGTTCAATTACCAGAGGCCACATACAATAAAAGTGAAACGGGAGAACTGATTTCATAGAGTTCTCCTCTGATTGCTACGCGTACACTGTGGCATTTGTGTCCCACCACACAAGTCATATTCTGCCTTGCACACATCATACATGTACACATCCATTAAAATGAAATAAAGCTCATCTTAATTTTAGTGAAACCACATATGAAGAAGATATTATCTCTTACCATGCTTTTGTTATCGTTACTTGCTTATCTAGATATCCTTTCCTTAAACCAACTCTCCAACCTTAATAATAATAATAATAATAATAATAATACATTATTATTGGCTGGAGAGATGGCTCTGCTGTGAAGAGCACTTGCTGCTCCTGCACAATACCTAGGCTCAATTCCCAGCATCCACATGGCAGTTGACAACTATTAACTCTAGTTACAGGGACTCTGGTGCCCTTTTGTGATCTCCATGGACACCAGGCACTGGTGTGGTGGTGTCATACATACGTGGCAGAAAAACACCCATACAACAGAAAATACAAGTAAATATTTTAAAAATATTATTCAGAAGGGATAAAGAGATGGCTTAGTGGTTAAGAGCACTGACTGCTCTTCCAGAGGTCCCGAGTTCAATTCCCAGCAACCACATGGTAGCTCACAACTATGTGTAATGGGATCCGATGCACTCTTCTGGTATGTCTGAGGAGAGTGACAGTGTTCTCACATATATTACATACTTACATACATACATACATACATACATAGAAAAAATTATAATTTTAAAAATTATTCAAAACTGTCAAAACTTTAATAAAATAATTCTCTTATTTTCAGTATAACATTCAGTTTTTAAATTGACAAGGACTTATTTTATATCTTCCAAGTGGAATGCCATTTGGGAGGGTAATTATATTTGAAATGCAAATTTTTAGACCCCAAATGATAAAACTTCTTCCTACTAATAAAGAAGAAAAAAAGTAACTGAATCCAACTAGTGTTACTATGCTGCTATTACTGTTAAATATGATAAGATACAGCTGGTCACAGCAGTCCATAGCTGCAGCCACAGTGTCTATGCGTTGGTGGCAGAAGGATCCAGAGCACAAGAGAAGTCTCTGGATAGCAAGTTTGAAGCCTGCCTAGATTCCAGGAGATCTTTTCTCAAAAGCCAGATAAGAGCTAGAGCGATGGCTTAATGGTAATTTATGAACACTGGCTACTCTTTGAGAAGACTTGGGTTCCAACCTCACCATGCACTTGGCAACTCACAATCTATTTGTAGTTCCAGTCTCAAATGATCTAACACCCTCTTCGGGACTTATTGGAGGTCTGTGTGTACATGATACACAAACATATATGTAGCCAAAACTACCCATATACATAGAATAAAACGTAAATGATAAACCAAATTTTAAAAATTGCCAGCATAATGGCTGGATAGATTAAGACACAGACTTAAGGTTCATTCGTGGTTATTAAACATACAGGGAAAGCAGAACTTGCTGTTTTGCTTTCAGTGTTGTATAGAGAATTATTAAAAGTCTAAATACCACTTTTACATAAAAGGTACCACTACTACTTATTAACACTGAATAGTATTTCCATGCATATGACTTATTTTTCATATATCTCTTTAGTAAAACATTCGTGTCACATTGAGAAGGACAAAATTATATATACATATACATATACATATACATATACATATACATATACATATACATATACATATACATATACATATACATATACATATACATGCTATAATCCGCACGCCTAAAATAATCCTGACATAGGCTGTGACAAATGATTGGGCACAAATATTTCTTCTTCTACCGTCAGTCAGTTGATACAGGGGAGAGTCTTGAGGAAAGGAGTTTGGGGTGAGTTGAATAGGTCAGGGAGCGTTTCCCCAATTTCTCAATACAGAAGAGAAATCCAGTCAGTTACTAGACACATGTTAACTTGCTTGAACCTTCAGCTTCCTTATCCAGAAATGGAGCTCTTTAGTTTCCGTTTGCCTACATGTCTTCCTGCCTCATAGGACGGCTGGTACGAGAAATCAAAAGTATTACAGAAAGGACTTTTAACATCATACTCTTATGGAGTTCAGCCTTGGCTCTGTAGCACGTAAAGATGATCCCTGGAACCACAGTTTGCACGCCCGTGTGTCTCGTCGGGCAATGGAATCCTTGACTCGGATGTACTATCGTCCGCAAACTCCGCCCAGAAGCCGTGAGTATAACCGGAAAGTCTCAGTTTTACCGGGCGTCCCGGAAGCGGAAGGAAGTCCGTTTCTTTTCTCTGTCCCGCACGTTTGTCCTGCGTTGTACCTGTTGGGCCAGAGCGGTTTGCAGAGGCGGTTCGCAGCGTGAGGAAGAGTGGAACCCTGAGCTCCCGGTTCGCACCGTGAGGAAGAGTGGAACCCTGAGTTCCCAGAGCATCGGCAGCCATGGCGGATGTGACTGCTCGCAGTTTGCAGTACGAGTACAAGGCGGTGCGTGTGGTCTCGGAGGAGGGTTGCGGGCAAGGTGAAGTCGTGGATAACACTGAGGGGGAAATCATAGCTGGGTGAAAGATGGATTAAAATACGAAGGAATATCCCAAGTTGGTTTTTGTTTCCAGTCCCCTTAGCGCTAAACTCTCTCCTTCTTCTTGTTACCCTCAATCTGCCCAACATTTTACCCAAATGTGGGCTATTGTGGATGCTGTTGGGAACGCTGGTCGTTCACCTTATCAGACAGTATAGTGCTCGTGCATAGTGTAATGTTATACTATTTCTTCTTAAGAGCATTATTTTTTTATCCCAGTGTTTTTCCATCTTCTGGTGTCATTGTAATAACAGGATTCAAAACTATATATCAAAGTTTTCATAAAGTATGATCTTTTCAGAACTCAAATCTTGTGCTCCAAGCTGACCGCTCTCTCATTGACCGGACCCGCCGGGATGAACCGACCGGAGAGGTTCTGTCCCTGGTCGGGAAGTTGGAAGGAACCCGAATGGGAGATAAGGCTCAACGGACCAAACCACAGATGCAGGAGGAAAGACGGGCCAAGTAAGTACTAAGGGGATGCTATTTTTTCATCTAATGTAAAGCCCATCTTTAGCATTAGAACAGTAGTTTTGCTCAAGTTTGTATGGAAGATCAGTGGTGTGTATACAACATAGCAAAAACCTCTTCAAGGTTTAAAGCTTCTTTGGATTTAAGTGTAACGAAGTGGAACAAAATCTATTGACACCTTTTACTGACATATTTCCGATTCATAGATGTTAATTTTTTTCAGGCTATCTTTTTAAAGATCTGTTTCATTTTTAATTATGTGCATGTGTATGCTTATGTGGATTTGTGCACATGCATGCAAGTGCCTATGTAGAGGCCAAGATGTTTTGGGATCCCCTGGAGCTTGAGTTATGGTAGGTTTTGAGCTACCCAGTGTGGGGCTGAAAACCGAACTTGGGTCCTCTTGGAAAGCAGTATTGGGCCAAACTACTTGAGCCTTCTCTCCGGCCCCATCTCTAACTGTTTTCAGGACTCTGGTTAATCTCCTCTCAGTAATTCAGCTCCTCCACATTGTTACAAACTCCCCCCCCTTCCTCTTTTGTTGCCCATCACTTCCTGATGATTTCTGTTGTCTTTTCATGTTGGTGGATTCATTTCAGAAGTTAAATACTACTAACATTATTTTGCCTGCCTGCCTTGCTTTTCTTTTAGTTTTGTTGCTTTTCTCTTCTTTCTTCAATACAAGGTATCTTATCTGTAGACCAGGCTAGCCTTAAACTCAGAGATCCATCAGCCTTTGTTTCCCAAACATTGGGATTGGGATTAAAGTCGCGTGCCACCACCTCCTGGAAAATTGTGTTTTCTTTCTCCTGTGTGTGTCTGTCTGTCTTCCCCCCCTCTATCTATCTATCTCTTTTTTAAAGACTTATTTTATTTTGTTTATATGAATACACTATAGCTCGTCTTCAGACTGTAGCTGTCTTCAGACACACCAGAAGAAGTCATTGGATCCCATTACAGATGGTTATTAGCCACCATGTGGTTGCTAGGAATTGAACTCAGGACCTTTTAAAGAGCAGTTAGTGCTCATAACCACTGAGCCATCTGTCCAGCTCTCTCTTCTCTCTTACTACAAAGTCTTAACAATCCCCAGGCCCTGTTTGGTTTGAGTGGTTGTGTTTTAGAAGAGCTTAAATATTGTTCCTTGGTCATTCAGTTTTCAGCCCGTCTTTTCTAGTTATTTACTGGGAGTCATTAGAGGTAGATTCCACTGGAGCCTAGTTTCTCTCACTACTAAAAGGTGATGGATGCGTCTAAGGTTAAAAAAAAAAAAAGTCTAAATAATACTATAAAATCTCGTGGATGCTGAGCAGTGGTGGCGCACGCCTTTAATCCCAGCACTTGGGAGGCAGAGGCAGGTGGATTTCTGAGTTTGAGGCCAGTCTGGTCTACAGAGTGAGTTCCAGGATAGCCCGGGCTACACAGAGAAACCCTGTCTCGAAAACAAAACAAAACAAAACAAAAATAGCTCGTGGATATAAAAAGGTGTACATTTTAAGATAATGGAGGCTGTATCTCGTAACACCATATCAGAGAATGACAGATTTTCTTTCTATAAATATGTCCCATAAAGAAGTGCTTCTTCAAATAATTAAGGTCTGGTAGGAGTTTTTTATTTTGATTCATGTCCCTGCCTTCACATATTAGATGTATAGAAAGGGTAAACTTGGCTTGGGAATGGAAAATTCTCTCATTCAGCATCATGTTGTATGTCTTATAGGAGGAGAAAACGTGATGAGGACCGGCATGACATCAACAAGATGAAAGGTTATACTCTTCTGTCAGAGGGCATTGATGAAATGGTAGGCATCATCTATAAGCCCAAAACTAAGGAGACCCGGGAGACCTATGAGGTGCTGCTCAGCTTCATCCAGGCTGCTCTTGGAGACCAGGTGAGGCAGCCAGAGGGGGAAAGAGAAAGTATTGAAGAATTTTGGCTGAATTATTAGTTACATATATTTATTCTCTCTCTCTCTCTCTCTCTCTCTCTCTCTCTCTCTCTCTCTCTCTCTCTTTTTCTGTGTGTGTGTGCGTGCGCATGTGGAAGTCAAGACAACTTTAATAGTTTGTTCTATCTTTGTGGGGTACTCAGGGATCAAACAGTTGAGGTTGGTGGAAGTACTCTTACCTGAGGAACTATCTTGCTAGTCCAATCAGAAGAATCTTATCTCTAGATTTTCCCAGCAGGATGGGGAGGTCAATACCACTTTGCAGAAATTAGCACTTAGTATATATAGAACAGCATGTTAACTATGAATAGATGCCGTTAGCATTCATTTTCAATGTAATAGAAGAGAGACAGGAGATACCTAAGTCAAGGAATCCAAGTGGTCCATACCCCATATCTGCCCTGAATCTCTGCATATCTCTGATTAGATCTCAAGCCTTTATGGGTTCTCTAGTGAGGTGAGGAACAGGGATGTGTGAACAAAGAATTAGTGAAAGTGTGACAGGACAGAGGCAGGCTGCTGAGTGCCTCGTCCACCTTGAGATGTGTGGCAAGCTGTTGTGCTAGGTGTATTCTGCTTTAGAAGACCACCTACCTATCCCCCACCTCCAAGTGCTCAGACTGACTTCAGGATCTCATGAATTTTAAGCACATGTGGCAACACTTTGTTAAATCCTTAGCAGCTCCCTCTAGTCTCAAAGTTTTATTTTGTTTGTTTGTGTGAGACACGGTCTTCTGTAGCTCAAGCCGACATCAAACTCACTATATATTCAAGAATGACCTTGAACTGTGGTCTTGTTGCTGCTTCCCAAGTGCTAGGTTACAGTCATGTGCCTGTGTCCTGTTAATGAGTGTTCAAAGCCTAGGATGCTGCTGGTTTGCTTGCTTGCTTTTTATATGTATAACTGTTTTACCTACATGTGTGTACACACTATGTATCCCTGATACCCTTGGTGACCAGAAGAAGGCTTCAGATCTCCTGGAATTTGAATTGTGATTCTTTTGAGCCATCATGTGTGTGCTGGAAATTGAACCCAGGTCCTCTGCAAGAGCAACAAGTACTCTTAACTTTTGAGCCACATCTCCCACTCCTGTAGTTTTGAAATTTATGCTTCTTTACTTTCTATTGTCACAAAGCTGATCAGTGTCCTATGTATTATTGTTGTATATGTTATCTGTGTTTTTTTCTTCAGCCTCGAGATATTCTTTGTGGGGCAGCTGATGAAGTTCTGGCTGTGCTGAAGAATGAAAAGCTTCGAGACAAGGAGAGAAGAAGGGAAATTGACCTGCTGCTGGGTCAGACAGATGATACCAGATACCATGTGTTGGTAAACTTGGGCAAGAAGATCACAGACTACGGTGGCGACAAAGAGATCCAGAATATGGGTACCTGAGCTCTGTGTGTCCTGACCGTGTTCTGTGGTTGTTGGCCTTTCTGTTGAGTGCTCAGCACTGTTGTTAACATTTAGAAGAGCATTATTTCCATAACTTATGGTGTGCTGTTTCAAGAGAATGGCTCATTTGCAGGTGTTTTGGCACAGGGTTATCCTAGCAAGTAAGCCAGGTCTGTATAGCAAGTCCCATCTCAAAAAAATAAAGAGGATAATTATCTAGTGATGTTTGGTGGTGAGCTTTTATCCTTTACTAGCTGAGCTCATTCTCCAGCCCTGGCAGCCATTTTTTAAATTGAGACGTATTGTATAGATGGAGCGAGAGATAGAGATAGAGATAGAGAGAGACAGAGAGAGAGAAAGAGAGAGAGAGAGAGAGAGAGAGAGAGAGAGAGAGAGCAGCGAGTGTGTAGGAGCTGAAGACGCAGGGAGGGTAGGATCCAGGTTGGCAGGTTCAAGAGGCCTTGGTGCTGGTTTTCATGTTGATTAAGTCTGTGTGTTCTGGCCAAGAATAAGCAAGCCAGGCAACTGAGGAAATGGGCTTGAGTGTCTCCACATTGACCACTGCTCTCTTTTTGTAATCCCACATCACCTCAGATGACAACATTGATGAGACCTATGGAGTGAATGTGCAGTTTGAGTCTGATGAGGAGGTGAGTAGCTTTAAGTGGATCCTTCTGTTTTGTTTGTGGTGTTACAAGGTAGTGGGAGCTCTTCTCATAAACTGAAATTCCTAGCTAAGTACATTTTACAGTGTTTGTGGTAGACTTACAAATTTGGTGTTATTCAGCTTAAAAAGTTACTATGGTTCACTTTAGGTTCTTTTAGAAGCTAATTTAAACTAGTAGGTGCAGATTGACAGTTCATCATAAACCAGATAGACCAAGGAAACTAGGAAGCAGGACTGAGAAATGCCATCCTGTAGGCATAGCAGTTATTGTAAACATGGACTCAAGCAGCTGCACTTACTGTGGGCCTGTACAAGACTGGCCCTGTCAACAGCCAGTTAGGGGTTGGGAAGGAGTCCCTTTTCCCTGCTGCCTAACTATTGGTTATTGATAGATAATGGAAAGGAGGTCATTATCGTCAGTCATGTGACCACTTCTGAGCCTTCTGGTCTCTGATGGTTAAATTCAGTGGGTCACAAATAACACAAGTCGGTTGGCATGAATTTGAGAAATGTGGGGGGAAGAGGAGGCTCCATGGAGGTGGGAAGGAGACGAGAGTGGCAGTAAAAGAAATCGGTATGCATTGTGTACATGCATCAAATTGTCAGAACACATTTATCATTTAAAGAATCAATAAAGGAAAAAAGATAAAGCACATTGTTAGTCAGTGGCAATGTGTCCTGCTATAGTGTTTTAACCATATTATAGTAATCTATGGTTTTAGTGCTGTGTGCTAATTGCTAGTTGAAGAATGCATATTCACCTAGGAGTATGGATGTAATTGTATTCGGCTATTTAGCAGTTGTAGCAACTTCTGGGATAAAGCTTGCCACTCCTAGATTATAACTAAATAAGAATAGGGGGACAATTGACAAAGAAAAGTTGAACCAGGAATGGTAACACTGTACCTACAATCCCAACAATCAGGAGATTGAGGCCAGCTGGGCTAAATGTCCCTAAATCATTTTTTTAAAGAGTAGTTACTTTAGAGTTTTCAGTAAGTGAATTTGTGTTCTGAAAAAGAAGTACCAGTCCTGAAATGTTTTCTTGTGACAAGAAGAGAAGATGTTACCAGAGTTAGGGTGAGCACTGAGCTGAGAGCCAAGGAATCTTTTGAGTTTGAGCCTGTATCTCGGGCGGGTCATTTTGCCTCAGTTTCTGTTTTAGTAAAACAAAATGCTACTTCCTAGAGTATAGTTTATTGGTAGAGAGTTTTTCTTTTCTCTTCTCTTTTTTTTCTTTTTTGTTTAGCTTTGGCAGTCATGGGACTAGCTCCTTAGACCAGGCTGGCCTCAAATTCACTGAGATCCACCTGCCTCTGCCTCCTGAATGCTGTGATTAAAAGCATGTGCCACCACTGCCCAGCTGTTAATTGGTAGTCTTAATTAGGTACAACCTGACACAGATTTCCTTACTCATAGCAATTGATTTAACAAATGCTAATTATTGAACACGATACTGTTTAAGTACACAGTCCACAATAGAGATTATGCAAACTAAGCATGATGTCTACACTTTTGGCTCACAGTCTACTTTCCTGTGTATGCATCTTCTTAGCTCCTCTGTTAGCCAGTAGTCTGGGTTTGAGATTATCTGTGTGTCAGAAGGAGCATATGGTCCCGGTGTTTAATATTTAGCAGCTAAGGTGAGAAGCAGACATAGGACAGATACATCTAATAAGCTCATTCCAAATGGTCATTCCATTGATGTTCCTGTAATATGGTTGATACACTATTGGCTTTACCCCAAAGCTGTTGTTCTAAGCATGGAGCTTAGAGTGATTGAAAGACAGGGTCTGTATGGCATAGGTCAAGTTCTACATCTGTATTGAGATTGGGGTTGTCTCCATAGGAAGGTGATGAGGATGTGTATGGGGAAGTCCGAGAAGAAGCTTCAGATGATGACATGGAAGGGGATGAAGCTGTTGTGCGGTGTACCCTCTCTGCAAATGTAAGTACAGTCTCTCTCTTGGTGTAGACCAGCTTACTTCTGAATGAAGCACTTCCTCTCATTAAGACAACTCACTGAGCCAGCCTGGTCTACAGAGTGAGTTCCAGGACAGCAAGGGCTATACAGAGAAACCCTGTCTTGAAAAACCAAAAAAAAAAAAAAAAAAAGACACTCAACTGAGCCATGGTTGTTTTTTCTGGGTGGGGGCTACTGTGGATTGAACCCAGCTTCCAGCATGCTGGTCTAGTGCTCACCACTGAGCTATTCTTATCCTTCTCAGCTTTTGAGGTTGTTTGGAGTTTTGTCGTTGTTGCCCAGGCAGGTGTCAAACTTGATGTCTTCCTCATCCTTTCTGTCAAGTGCTGGGTGCTGGGATTATCAGCATGGAACACTGTGCCTGCCTTCCAGATTTCCTTTTGATGGGTATTTGGGTTGCTTTCAAAATTTGATACATAGATAATGTTACAATGACAAGAATATTAGAGCGCTTTGTTTATTTGTTTGTTTTTTAAGGTAGGGTTTCCCTGTGTAACCCTGGCTGTCCTGGAACTTGATCTGTAGAACAGCCTGTCCTTGAATTCAGAGATTTTGCCTGCCTCTGCTTCCCAAGTGGTGGGATTAAGGCATGTACCACCACTGTCCTGCTGAGTATTTTATTTTTGTTTGTTTGTTGTCCTGGGGTTGAAATGGCTGTCTTGTGCATGGTGAATGCTCTAGCACTGAGTTATAGCACCAGGATTAAAAGAGACTAAAACAATTTTTGTTTTGAGAAAGGGCCTCACAAAGTTGCCTGGGCCAGACTTAAACTTACCCTACAGCTCATGCAGGTCTTGCAGCTCTGTCAACTCTGCTTTCTAAGTAGTGGGGTAAATTTACAGACCTATTCCAGTAGCCCTGAGTGTGTGTTTCTTTGTTTTTTTTTCTGACATAAAACTTGCTTGGAAGCTCAAGACTGTCTTTGAATTTGGAATCTCCTGCATCAGCCTCCTCAGTACTGGAATTGCAGATGTCCCACCAAGCCCAGTTTGAGCCTTATTAAATAGTCAGTGTCTTGATTTTCTTAGGACATAGTCAGTTGTTACTCTTCCCAAAGACACATGTTAATGAATTCTTAGTCTGGTGTGCTCCTGAATTCAGTGTAATAGAGCTGCTTCTTTCTGGAAAGGCCTCAGAAGGTAGCCTATGGGATGACAGGTAACTTGGGTGGATCGTGATGAAGAGACCTAGTGAGCCACAAGCCTGGTTTCCTTTTTAGCTTGTGGCCTCAGGCGAACTGATGAGTTCTAAGAAGAAGGATTTGCACCCTCGGGATATCGATGCGTTCTGGCTGCAGCGACAGCTCAGTCGTTTCTATGATGATGCCATTGTGTCGCAGAAGAAGGCAGATGAGGTGTTGGAGATTTTGAAGGTACGGCCAAGATAGTACTTGTAGTTTATGTGTCTTGTCAGAAAGGGTCAGTGTTTGGAAGGCAGCTATGCTTACTGCAGTACTGCCAGTGCAGGGACAGTGTTTGAGGTAGCAGATGGCTGTATTCATACTGGTGGTCTGTTTTCTCTCTTCAGACAGCAAGTGATGACCGAGAATGTGAGAACCAACTGGTTCTGCTCCTTGGTTTCAACACTTTTGACTTCATTAAAGTGTTGCGGCAGCACAGGATGATGAGTGAGTAGACCATGCACTTTCTTGCTCTGTGTGTGTGTGTGTGTGTGTGTGTGTGTGTGTGTGTGTGTGT